TCGTCGTCGTCATTGCTCCTTGTTTCATTCTCATTGCACACTCACTCACCACTTTGCCATTCACCACCGCAATTGATCATCTTTTCACCAGTGGACCATTTGGTGTTTCAGTCTGACTGAGCTTTGAGGCATCTTTCAGCCAAATTCCTTCTCAGTTTGAAGCAGGCTTTTTCATCGGTGTGTGCATGTGCTCATTCTGAGCTGGTGGACGTCTGGTAGCACCAGTTTTTTTGGTTGCAGGGCACCCGAATTTGCCTTTCTTCCGTTTGGATGACCTCCTCTTCACAGCACCACCACCACCAGCTAATATCATCGGCAAACATGGCCAACATCGTGCGCCTCGTAAGTATACACAGTGTGCTCTGGGGTGACTGGGCAAATGCTGGCGATTGTACTCTACTACTAGGTGGTGACCAAAGTCGGCCGAAAATAGGTGATTGAGGTGGTGGTGGTGATGATGTTGGGTGCCAGTGTGTTAAAGTGGGACACATCGCGGAAAGAAAAAGAGACGTGATCTATGGCTTAGGTGCACCATCGGACAGAGCACAGACAGAATGTCTGGGGAGAGCAAACAGTGACAGTCGATCTTGATAGTGCATCACCTTCTGATTGATTCGAAATGCTGCTATTCAGTTTAGACCTTGAATAGATTGTTCAGACAGACAGAGACGGCTAATAGAATAGAATAGAATGAGAAGTCTGCCAAATAGATGCCTGACAACTAATCATTTTCCCCTTTCCTTCCCTCTGCCATTATGACCACCATTTTAATCGGACCGCCATCTTTCATTCCTCCTCCTCCTCCTCCTCCAGACATTGCTCTCCGGCCTGTGCTGTCTGGCCACCCTGGTCCACTCGCTGCCACTGGTCAGCTACAGTGTTGCACCTCCACAAGCGGTTCTGCACCATTATCACCACCCCCAGCAGGCAGCAGCAGCCCTTCTGCCCGCCCTGGCCCAACTTCACACCTACTCCTCCTCCTCCAGCAGCAGCAGTCCTCGATCCAACAGCCATTTCTGGAATTACCAGAAACGAGCCCTTTTCAACAGTCTGGCGGCGCTGGGCCAGCTGGCCAGTGGCGCCAGCTCGGCCAGTTCAGACGGTGCAGGCAGTTCACTGCTGGCCAGTGCACTTTCCAGTGGAGGTGGTGGTGGTGGTGGTGGCTCCAAGGACCCCGATGATGAGGGCGGTCTCCTCTCATCGTCCTCTTCATCGTCGTCATCGTCCTCCTCAGTAAACAAGCCCATTCCCTACAAGTTCACCAGTACGGAGATGACGGCCATTCAGGCGATGATCTCCCTGCGAGACATCATCGGCGAACTCCTGCAGAAGGTCGGCTTCAACATTCCCGGCATCACCCGCTCCTCTTCGGGAGCCGCCGATGCGGGCTCCTCCTCTTCAGGGTTCCTTTCCTCTGACTCAAACGGAGCACTAAGCTCCTTTGGCAGCACCGCCACCAAGTCGACCAATGTGGGCGTGCAGGTGCTTCGCGGTTTGGCGCTCCTCTCTCCGCTGATCATTCCCATGGCCACGCAGCTTCGTCGCATGTCTCCCGACTATTCTTCGAGTTTTGGGAGTAACAGTGGTCTCAGCCTGCCCTCGATGTCCGTGGTGCCGCCCATGCCGCCGATGGTCTTCCCCGACATCTACTACAACCAGGCGATGCACCGACGACGGGGAAAGCGGTCAACTGGGGACTTGGCTGCCGGTCGAGCAGCCTCTCCGGCACATCAGCTGCATCAGTTCAGTCAGCACCCGCTGCTGAGCAGTCCCTCGCTGCTTCGCTACCTGGCCCGGCTGCAGCGGCAGGCACAGCACAAGTGGTAGTTCACCACCACTCTTTAGAAGCATCATCCTCCTCCTCATCCTCTTCCATTGCCTCACCTCGTTTTCGGTCATCCAATCTCTCTCTCTCACTCGGTCATATTTATTAGCCTCCTCTAGCTCTCTTCGCTCGCTTCCATTACCTCCATCCACCCCAAATCATCATCCACTTTCCAATTCCTCCTCCTCCTTCTTCTCCTTCTTTGTCTCCCTCTCATGAGTCTCACCTCATACTTAATTCTCTCTCTCTCTCTCGCTCGCTCCCTTTCGGTACACAATCTCTCTTCTGTGTATTGTGTAGCGCAATCCAATGCTTGTTTGTCTGTTGTTCCATTCACGTCAGCCATGCCAATGTGTTAATACTTTTTTTCGCTTTATGCTTTTCCCTGCTTTCTTGACTGTTATCTGAGCAGCTCACAAGTTTTTTGCCTCTCTTTCCAAAGCACGACGATTTCATTAAAGTTTTTTTCATACAACGGAGAGCTTTGCCTATGCTTTCATTTGTGTCGACATTGGGTGTGTGTATTTGTTAAATTCTTTCCGTTCCAAGTTGGAACTTTCAACGAATGAAAGATAACATTTTTTGTTGGTTTTCTTGTCGTTGTAAACTGTTTCGACAGATGGCGCTAGAGTGCCCAAACTTTTCTGCCAGACAGTCTATATTTCTGAGCACTAGATGGCGCCAGCAGCTCGCGTCACAGCGTCGGTGACGGGCACAGGGTGCGCGTTTGCTGTTTTGTTTTGCCGCGCCGCTGGTGCACGCTTCAGCTCCACGTGTTGTGAAGTTCTTCGCTTTACTTCTACTTTTTGGAAGTTCTTGAACCTTAATCGCCGATCTGTCTGTTGATTCTCTTCATCCGCATCTTCATCCACATCATGCAAGGCCGAGGCGGTGGACGTGGTCGTGGCCGTGGTGGTGGCGGCGGCGGCGGTTTTCGAGGTCGGGGTGGAAGCTCCTTCAGAGGCCGAGGAAGAGGTGGCGGTGGTGGCCGCGGCGGCAGCTTCTCCAGCGGACCACGCGGCCCGAAGCGCAAGTTCTCCGACTACAAGCAGTTCGACAGGCCCAGCCTCGACGATCCACCTACTACCACCCCTTCAGAGGAGCTGTCCAGCCACCACCAGGTCGGCGGTGATGACCCTGCAATGAACAATGAGGAGGTGGCTATCGTCGAGCTGCCACCACAGGACCACGAAATTCCCGACGCCAATAGCGCCTTCAAGGAGAAAGCGGGCACCGACCGACTACTCAATCCGAAGCGCTTCAAGAACATCACCAACCAGTCGAAGCGGCTGATCATCATCCTCGAGCGCGCCAACCTCGAGGTGGTGAAGGTGAAGACGGCCTTTGAGCTGCTGAACACCGACGACCACGGGAACTTCATTCGGAAGCACGGCAAGGACCCCACCTCCTGCCGGCCGGACATTCTCCACCAGTGCCTGCTGATGCTCTTCGACAGCCCGCTGAACCGAGCCGGCCTCCTGCAGGTGTACATCCACACGGAGAAGAACGTGCTGATCGAGGTGAATCCGCAGACGCGCTTCCCGCGCACCTTCCGCCGCTTCGCCTTTCTCATGGCGCAGCTGCTCTTCAAGCTGAGCATCAAGGCGTCCAACTCCTCGGAGAAGCTCCTCCGCGTGGTGAAGAACCCCATCACTGACCACCTGCCGGTGGGCTGTCGCAAGCTGTGCACCAGCTTCAAGGCCACTAAGATCGTCTCGCCGCGCGAGCTGGTGCCCACCGAGGAGGAGCTGGCCACACAGGGCCCGCTGGCCATTGTGGTGGGGGCGATGGCCCACGGCGCCGTGGACGTCGACTACACCGAGGGGGAGATCTCCATCTCGCAGTACCCGCTCAGCGCCGCCCTTACCTGCACCAAAATCTGCTCGGCCTTTGAGGAGGCCTGGGGCATTGTCTAGCCCCCCGGCTGGAATGCCTCCATCACCCCCATCACCCCTTCATGTAATCATCCACCCGTGAAGCTCATCCCCTCTACTCTTATTTTGTTGTTGTTGTTTTTAATCATCCTATTAAACGGCTTCTTTTCCCTTTTCCTCTCTTTGCAGGCGGATCCCTAGCTCGTAAAGAAAGAAAGAAAGAAAGAACTACTTGAACTGACTGTCTTGTCCGATGATGGCCAAGGATTCCCTTTCCCTCCTCATCCTCCTCCTCCTCCTTTCCTGTCTCCCCGTGGTGCCACTCAAAAAAAGCTGTGCATTTGATGAAGAACTGATCAGATCTGTCTGCTCTGCTCTGATCTGATGTCGCTAATCCCATCCCATTCCCTCTCCTCTCCTCTCGCCGGACAAGACTCTCAGGTAGGAAAGAAAATTGCTTTTTTCTTGCCTTTTTTGCTGCTAAGACACTGGGCGGACAGGCTGCTGCCGCTGCTGCTGGCGAGATTAATCTCTGCTGATTACTTTTTTTTGTTGCGATGTGCAATTCTCGCTGCGACTGTTGCCTGCCCGCTGCCGCTGCCTTTGCCTCTGCAGGGTACCCAACNTTTTGCTGCTAAGACACTGGGCGGACAGGCTGCTGCCGCTGCTGCTGGCGAGATTAATCTCTGCTGATTACTTTTTTTTTGTTGCGATGTGCAATTCTCGCTGCGACTGTTGCCCGCTTGCCGCTGCCATTGCCTTTGCCTCTGCAGGGTACCCACAGCTCTGCTCATCTTATTACCTTATTTATGAGCCCACTGCTAGCCTGTCTGACAGTTAGACTGTGTGATGTGTGATGTAATGAAAGAAAGACAGTGAGAGTGAGTGAGGATAGGTGGAGAGGAACAGGTAGGCAGCAGCCAAACTGCCGCTACCTGCTGTGTGAACTGCCTGCCTGAACTGAGCTGTTTGTGTTTGTGCTCACCATTTTTCTCCTTCTCGCCTTCTTCTTCTTCGCAGGTGTTAATTCGCGCGCTCTTGATAGCAATCCCCACGTACACACTGTTTGTGATGTGGATTCTTCTTTAGTGTTCTTCTGTAGTCATTTTGTGTCGAGGCGTTAAATGGCCAAGAAAACGGGCGGCTGAAGAAGAAGAAGAGGCCTGCTTGATTGCTTAGGCAGATAGCTTATTTCTCTCTCTTAACTTTTTCTGCTTCAGACACTGATNTTCGCGCGCTCTTGATAGCAATCCCCACGTACACACTGTTTGTGATGTGGATTCTTCTTTAGTGTTCTTCTGTAGTCATTTTGTGTCGAGGCGTTAAATGGCCAAGAAAACGGGCGGCTGAAGAAGAAGAAGAGGCCTGCTTGATTGCTTAGGCAGATAGCTTATTTCTCTCTCTTAACTTTTTCTGCTTTTTCAGACACTGAAAGCACTGATGCTCTTTCCTACTATTGAGGTTTGCTAGAGATTAGCTCAACTATTCTCTCTCTCTCTCTCTCTCTGTGTGTGTGTTTCATGTTCGAACAAGAAGTCATGTTCTCTCTTTTCTCTATTCAGTCCTGAGTGTCTCATGTCAGCAGCTCTCTGTCCTTTATCAGTCCTTTTTCCAGCTAACTGTCAACTACTACTTCTTTTGCAAATGCTTCTGCACTCGGGTTGCCACTGTGGTAACCGGAGACCTAGAGTCTTTTGGGTGGACCACGATCACTTGTCGGACAGCGGTGACATTGAGCAGAGCACTCAGAGCAGAGTTCCAATTGCAGCAGTACTACTGCCTGGGAATCGAATAGGAAGACAGTGGTCTCATCTCTTCTCGGGTCTCTCCTCTCTCTTTCTTCAGAACTGAGCAGACCAATTTAGTGGCCGGCACCATTAATTAGCTCTCTGACTGCTGTCAGCAGCAGCAAATCTGTGTTGTCACCAAATCGGCAACTTCGATTCCCTGTCATTCTCTCTCTCTCTCTCTCTCTGTTTTCGGTGGACACATGTGTGCTCCCTTCTTCTACTTCTTGCGCTAGCCTTTTGGTCAATACAGCTGCTGCTGCTGCTGCTGCTGGGCACTTGTTGCCTTCAAACAGTTGACTGAAAGTTGAGAATGGTCAGAATGGCAAAGGCGAACACAAATTCTTGCTGAGAGAGTGGCCCTCGCAGACTGACTGACTGCAGTTCGCCCTGGTTGGTCCTCGCTCTTTGCTCTTCAACTGCTGCTGGCCATAAAAGAAGCGGCGGTCTGCCGCACAATCTTTTCTGCTGATGAGGAACACGTGTGCCTCTTCTTCTACTTCTTCTTCTTCTTCTTCTGCTGTTTGATCAGCTTTGAGCACTTGTGTCTCTGCAGATATTCTGCAGGTGTGAGGTGTGAGCATTCTTCGGGCTCGGATGTGTGCCCTTTGGCTTCAGTCAGTCAGTCAGTCAGATTAAGACGACGGACTCTCTGTAATTGAGGAGGAGGAGGAGGAGAAACNGATATTCTGCAGGTGTGAGGTGTGAGCATTCTTCGGGCTCGGATGTGTGCCCTTTGGCTTCAGTCAGTCAGTCAGTCAGTCAGTCAGATTAAGACGACGGACTCTCTGTAATTGAGGAGGAGGAGGAGAAGCGGGGGCACAGCTGAGCTCATTTCCTTCCTTCGGCTCGGCTGGCAAAGGGCAAATATTGACTTTGGCCAATTTTTTGCCTCAGTCTTTAGTAGCTGCTGCTGCTTAGCTTTAGAGCTGTCTTTAGTGTTTGCACATGCCTACACTTCTTCTTTTTTTCACACAGACAGACAGACAGAAGGTGTTTAAAAAGAAGAAGAAAGCTAAGCGCAATGTGCGCGCGGCAATTTGTCTCCTTTGCCTCTTCTTCTTCTTCAGCTTCAGCTTCTTCGGTGTCGATCGCTTTGTGATTGCTTGACCACCACCACCGCCGCCGCTTTCTTCTTTCTTTCTCAGCTCTTTTCACACCGCAGCTTTGCAGCTGGCTAAACTTGTCAACTTTACAGTTTGCTGCTGCTGCTGTTTGTGCTGACGGTGTGTGATGTCTGAAGAATGCCTGAATGTGCTTTCTTCTTCGGTGACAGTGTGCATCG